CTGACATGCCCAGCAGGGGATAGTTAAGGGCACCTGTTTTTTTTGGCCAAGGTGGAAGTCTAGACTTCCCACCAGTCTCTGATAGTGGAAAGGGGGAGTGCATCTCCCCTTCCCCCTGCCCCCTCCCCTCCATCAGGTGGAGTAGAGCAGTTACTGTTTAAAAGTTTTCTATTTTGTTAGGCTGCCCTTTCCCTGGTCCTTTGGATAGAGGAAGCATGCTTCTGTGAGTTTTTTTGTTGTTTTACACCTGTTAGTGTTTTGGGTATGATGGCTTCATCAACACCCACTTTATTATAGAAGGCTAAAAGAAAACCTAGGTTCCTTGGGTTCTGAGGCCTCTAGCTGGTCTGCCACCTTTTCTCTACCTTATACAGTCTTCAGTCTTTTTATGATTGTTTTATATAGAATGTCTAGGGTTTTAGCCATATTTATCTGGAGGAATAGGAAAAATGTGTTTATGCCATCTTTCTCTTCTGCAAAATGCATTGTTACATATTTATAGATTTTAATTATATGTGTTGGGTAGATCTCTCAGTTTGGAGCCTGTGTTTTCATTTTCTTCATAGCAATCTTTCGACTAGTTGTAGTTCTTAATTAACTTCAATGAAAAATTCTATTGAAATTCCTGTTTGGATTGTTATTAAAACTGAATTGAATCTGTAGGTATGTTTGGGGAGACTTGCCATCTTTAACATCATGGACTTTTTTTTATTACTTAGATATATTTTAAGGTTTTAAAATGTAGCTTGACATTTTCTCCAGTGGCCTTATACATTTTTAAAAACTTATTCCTAAGTACTTAAAATACTTTTATTGTTATTGTAAAATGGATTTTAAATTTTAAAAAAATGTGTTTATTGCTTGTATATACAAATAAAATTGACCTTTGGATTGTTTTATGCATTTTATTTTGCAAAACTATATCTGAGAATCTTATTACAGTCTCCTTGGTACAGATTACAGCATCAAGTTTATATTAACCCTTTGAGTGCCAACCAATATCCTTGGAACTATGCTAAAATTGCCAATTCACTTTTGCTGATTTTATAGCAGTTTAGGAAAAAAATTATGAATCGCAAATAAATGAAGTTACACATTCAAAAACTTAAGGAAACCTTTACTACATTTGTTTTCATCTTTGACTTATATTGTTTGCTGATTGTATTATAAAATACTAGTAGAAAAAAAATTTGAACAACACATATAATGTTAAAATAAAGCGCTCCCAGCACTTTTGGCGAAAGACAGGAGGAGCGCGATTGCGCTCCCCGGCACTCTAGGGGTTAAATATACAAACATTTAATTACAAATTTAGATTTTAACTCATACATAATTTTTATTGTCTTACCAAGCACTATAAAAAATGATTCCTTTCCCCCTCCCTAAAGGAACATTATTTGCACTTATTAAAGGGAAATAGAATAGTATTTCCTAATTTCCCAAGGAGATTTTAAACAAAACAAGTATGTCTGTGCTCCACTTTCACAAATCCTGATTCTATAGGTTCAGAGCGAACCAGAGCTCTCTGTTCTTTTAGTAGTCTCCCATGTACTTCTGCATATTCCTATCTGAAAACCACTGTTAAGAGAAGTTGCTAAACAAGAAAAAGAGTAGTCCATAGGGATGTTTATTTGGAGAAGTAGCTCATTTAAAATTATGGGGACTAGGTGTGGGATATGTATAGACACACACATAAAATCCATATATGTACATAAACTGAATTGTTTTGTGTTAAGTAGCAGCAGATATGAATTTGAAGAGCATCCTATGTAATAAAAGAGAAACATGTAAATTAACCATCCCTCCGCTACAGTCACCAGCCAATCAGAGTGGGTATGCAAATTAACCTGACAAAGATTGCGGGTTAATTTGCATACACAGGTGTCAAGGGCCCCAGGAGGCAACGGCGGTGGCCCTGGGCTCCCGGGACCATTGCCGGCCCCGGGAGGCGAGACTGGCTGCACCAAGCCACGCCTGCAGGCTCCCGGGACCATTGCTGGCCCCGGGAGGCGAGGCCTGCCACACCTAGCCATGCCCGTGGGCTCCCGGGCCTTCGCCAGCCCCAGGAGGCAAGGCTGTAGCCAGGACCTTCGCCGGTAGAGATCAGAGTGGGAGAGCGGGTGCAGAGTGGGAGGTTTGGAGGACTTGGCAGAGCAGGAGGCCACTGGACATAGAGCAGAGCGAGAGAGAGGGCGGCTTGGAGTGCGTGGCTTCCTCTGTCACCCCAGCTTCCTCATCACAGCTGTGGAAACTGACAGCAGGGAGGAGGAAGTCCCACCCCTGCGGAATCAGCCGTTGGTCAGACAGCTCTCAGTGGCCTGACAGCCAGGACTCTCATTCATCTGCATCTCAGACCATGAGAGTAGAGAGGTGGGACTATGTCTAAAGAACAACTGTTGATACAACGTACCTCTGAAGAGCAACATGCATCTGATCTTGAAAGAAGGCGGCGCCTGCGACAGATATATCTGAAGAGCAGCTACTGGAAAAATGTCACTCTGATGCTTAAAAACACTGGTGTCATCGACAGAAAACGTCTAAAGACCAGTGTGCCTTTGAAGTTGAAAGAAGGCGGTGGCGATGACAGAATATGTCTAGAGAACAGTCATCAACAAGTACTACCAGTACTGGTAGGAACTGCCTTCTCAGCGAAAATGGGAGTATTTGAGGATGCAGTCCTTGAACATAGTTGTGGTGGAATCACTGTTACATGTGAATATTGCCTATCACTAAATTTCTCTGATGAAAAACCATCCGATGGGAAATTTAGTCGATGTTGTAGCAAAGGGAAAGTCTGTCCAAATGATATACATTTTCCAGATTACCTGGCATATTTAAAAAGATTAATGACAAACGAAGATTCTGACAGTAAAAATTTCATGGAAAATATTCGTCCCATAAATAGTTCTTTTGCTTTTGCTTCCATGGGTGCAAATATTGCATTGCCATCAAGATATGGGCCATACTGTTTTAGAATACATGGACAAGTTTATCACCGTACTGGACCTTTACATCTTTCAGATGGTGTTTCTTGGAAGTTTGTTCAACTCTATACTTTGGATACAGCTAAAGCGTCAAGTAAAAGATTAGCAATGCCAGAAAACCAGGGCTGCTCAGAAAGACTCATGATCAATATCAACCTCATACATGAAATAAATGAGTTAACAAATCATACAAGATGCTACATGAGGTAGAAAAGGAAGCCCAATCTGAAGCAGCAGCAAAAGGTAGTGCTCCCACAGAAGTAACAATGGCAATTAAATACGATCGTAACAGTGACCCAGGTAGATATAATTCTCCCTGTGTAACCGAGGTTGCTGTCATATTCAGAAACGAAGATGGAGAACCTACTTTTGAAAGGGACTTGCTCATTCATTGTAAACCAGATCCCAATAATCCAAATGCCACTAAAGTGAAACAAATCAGTTTCCTGTTTGCTACATAAGAATAATGACATATCCTTTTCTTTTTTCGCATGGTGAAAAGGCTAGGGAACATATATTACATTAAGACTCAGAGTTAACAGTGTAATCAACAATAATACTAGACAAAATGTAAGGACACGAGTCACACAAATGCAGTATTATGGATTTCATCTCTCTGTGCGGGACACATTCAGTCCTATTTTAAATGTAGGAAAATTAACTCAACAGTTTATTGTGGATTCATATTAAAAAATGGAGGCCAATCGGATAAATTTCATCAAAGCAAACCAATCTAAGTTGAGAGTTGAGAAATATAGTGGTTTGATGGTTAGATTATAAAATGGTTAGATTATAAAATATAGTGGTTAGATTTGAAAATGACAATGTGTTGATTGGTAAAATGATAATACTTCCATCATCTTTTGAGGGTAGTCCCAGAAATATGCAGCAGCGATATCAGGATGCTATGGCAATTGCAACGAAGTATGGCAAGCCCGATTTATTCATAACCATGATGTGCAGCCCCAAATGGGCAGATATTGCAAACAATTTACAACGCTGGCAAAAAGTTGAAAACATACCTGACTTGGTAGCCAGAGTTTTTTGTTTGTTTGTTTGTTTTCAGAGACGGGGTCTCGCTATGTTGCCCAGGCTGGAGTGCAGTGGCTATTCACAGGCGCGATCCCACTACTGATCAGCACGGGAGCTTTGACCTGCCCCGTCTCTGACCTGGGCCGGTTCACCCCTCCTTAGGCAACCTGGTGGCCCCCCGCTCCCTGGAGGTCACCATATTGATGCCGAACTTAGTGCGGACACCCGATCGGCATAGCGCACTACAGCCCAGAACTCCTGGGCTCAGGAGATCCTCCAGCCTCAGCTTCCCGAGTAGCTGGGACTACAGGCGCGCACCACCGCGCCCGGCAGAGTTTTTAATATTAAGCCGAATGCTCTTTTATCTGTAAATTCCATTTATTTGGCAAAGTAATAGCTAAAATTCATGTCATTGAATTTCAGAAACATGGACTGCGTCATGCTCACATATTATTGATATTAGATAGTGAGTCAAATTACATTCCTCTAATTAATTCCCTTTCAATGTGCATGAATTTCGTGCACCGGGCCACTAGTGAACATTATAAAAGATCCTATTCCCAATTTGGATGAGATTGGTTGATTTTAGTGCTTGGTAGATTTGTATTAAAACTTAAAAATGTGAGCTCATGGATGTAGAGAACAAATTGGTGTTTGCCTGAGGAAGGGTTGGGGTGAATGAAATGGGAGAAGAATCATAAAATATAGATTTCTAATTATAAAGTGAATGTCATGGGAATATAATGTACAGTATGGTGACTGTAGTTAATAATATTATGTATTGCATATTTGAAAGCAGCTAGGAGAGTGGATCTTGAATTCTTAACCACAAGAAAATAATTTTGTCACTGCATGGTGATGGATGTTAACTGAACTTATTGTGGTGATAATTTTACAATACATACAGATATCAAGTCATTATGTTGTACACCTGAAAGTAATATAATGTTATATCAATTATACCTCAATTTTTTTCTTTTTCAGTTGGAGTCATTCGATGTCCAGTTTGTAGCCAAGAATGTGCAGAGCGACACATCATAGATAATTTTTTTGTGAAGGATACTACTGAGGTTCCCAGTAGTACAGTAGAAAAATCTAATCAGGTAAGTGTATTAAGTCTTGAATCTTGTGCCTCCTCTTTTTTTATTTTTAAATATATTTTTATTGATTCAGAGAGGGAGAGGGAGAGAGGGATAGAAACATTAGTGATGAAAGAGAATCATTCATTGGCTGCCTCCTGCACAGCCTCTACTGGGGAGCATGCCCGCAACTTGGGCATGTGCCCCGATGGGGAATCGAACCATGACTTCCTGGTTTATAAGTTGACACTCAACCACTGAGCTACACCAGCCAGGCCTTTGCCTCCTCTTAATGAGGCAGCCAGAAATGTTGGAGGACTTGAAAATAAAAGGTGTCAAATATTAGAGCATTATATTTATGAAATGATGTAATATTTTAAAGGTATATATGTATATGAAGAATAATGACTAAATTCATCTGAAGGAATAAAATAGTGCCAATGTAGAAGCTCTGATGACACTTCTATCTTACCTGTCCTGGCAGAGAAAACCATTATTCTATATTTGACATTATTTCATTTCTTTGAAATTTTACTCTGTATTGACAATTAGAATTTTTATTTTAAGCCCTCCCTTTAAAATTCTTTTCTGTTTTAATTATAAGCTCTATATTGATATGAAAATTTTCATGTCTTTGATCCAGTACAGTTTCTGCAATTTAAGAAAGTCTTCTTTTCTACATGGTATTTCTTTGAAAGCCTCATTTGGTAGCATTGCCCAAGGTATTACATTTAGAGGTCCAATGGTGTTTTTCTTTTTTCCTTACTTCCATAAACCCACATGTAGAAGATTTCTGTTGGCCTCTTATATCTAAATGTCAGGTTCCTAGTGGATGTACTCCAGTGGAGGTGAGCTATAATTCTGCAGTATGTGCTAAATTTAAATGTAGTGTATTAGTCTGTTTTTGGATCATGAATCATTGATAGTTTCTCTAGGCCAGTGGTCAGCAAACTCATAGTCAACAGAGCCAAATATCAACAGTACAACAATTGAAATTTCTTTTGAGAGCCAAATTTTTTAAACTTAAACTATATAGGTAGGTACATTGTTATTTACTTAATTAGGGTACTCCTAAGGCTTAGGAAGAGCCACACTCAAAGGGCCAAAGAGCCACATGTGGTTCCCGAGCCGCAGTTTGCTGACCACGGCTCTAGGCACTTTCTTCAATTTGGAACAGAAGATCTCTGAAGGAACTGAATCTGAGTATAAAAAAAATGATTGTTAACCTAAAATGTAAAAATCTAAAAAGTAATATTTTGGACTCTTCAGTAATCACACAGCTAAAGTTTCTGTACTTTCATTTTCAGTGTTTTTTTCCATTGGGAGCTATAGGAACTTAGGGTTCACTTTAAATGAATATGACCACTACTAACTAAAATATCTCTTTTTGTTTAAAAAATATCCACAACTCTTCCTAATGTGAACTTTCATCAAGGTCAAAACAGGGTTGGGTGCAGAGAATAAACTTTTCTGATTGTTGTGAAATCAGCTTTAAGGAATGGAATAATCATTATGTGAGCTACAATGTAAAATAGCCCCATTGAATGTTCCCTTCTGAATACTACTGACTTTGTTTCTGTTGTCTAAAGTGCCCTATCATTTTGCTTTATATATGATAATATTTTCAGATGTATTTTGTTAGTCATATCACACATCAATTACAGTTTAGGTGAACTCTAGTAGTACATGTGAATGATCAAACCAGAAGATTAAAAAACAAAGCAGCGTAAATAATCAACAGGGTGGAGAAATGATAAGACATGAAATTATAATAGGTGAGAATGGAAGGAATTTAAATATAAAGGAAAATTTTAAGAGGCTGTTTTATGTCTCTTTATAATCAATTGGTTTTCAGTGTTTATTTACTCTGCTTCTATTACAGAAACATAAAATAAGTTATAATCAGTTAAACTAGAGATAGAGTCCAATAGACATCTTCAATGTTAAGTGGAGGTGGGAAGAGTATTAAGTTTGGTTCAAAGAATAAGATACTTGTAGGGATATTTTGGGAACAGAGACTTAGGTGATAATGTAGGATGAGTTGGGGCTAGGAAGCAGTAGGTGAGAGGTAGAGCTGAACTAGCATGGTGGTGATAAGGGAAGGAAGGGGTAAGTTATAGCCCACTCAGGACTTGATAATACCTGATTGCATGTGGAAGATGAGAGAGGCCCCACTGCCAAGATGGTGGTTCCTTTCCACAGATAAAGAGGGCAGGGAAGTAGGCAGAGGTGAAGAGAATTGGTTTTGAATGTGATAAACTTGTCTATAAGATAGAAATGTCTTCTGTCGTCACACTGGAGCTCTGAAGAGTTTATAGCTGGACATAAAGTTTGAAAAACTTTTGTGATGGATAATTTCAACCATTCCCCAAAATTGAGTTTAGCACCATGTACCCATTAACTCAATAGTCCACAACCCTTGTTTTATGTAAAATAACCCTGACACCCCCCCATAAACACTAGATTATGTTGATGTTAATTTCTGGTTTTATATAATCTAATCCATAAATATTTCAGTATTTATTGCTATGGAAAAAATAAATTTTTCTTTAAATATAATCACCATATTAATTTATGTGTAAAATGTATATTAATTCCTTAATAGTATCAAACATTCAGACACTGATCAAATATCTTTATTTGTTGCAGTTTTTAAACAGTGGCTTGTTTATATAAGAATCCAATAAGGCCTACATAATGAATTTGGTTGATTTATCTCAAAAATATCTTTAATCTCAAATTACCCCTTTGCCTCGCTGGCTTTCTTTATCCTCTCTTCTAACATATTTGTTGGATAAACTGGGTTTAGTTCAGTAGAGTTAGCCCTATTCTGAATTTTGCTGACCATTTCCATAAAATCATTTAATGTGCTTTTCTCTCTTTTGTATTTTGTATAAACTAGAAATAAAAATGTAGAGGCTGGGTTAGATTCAGGTCCCATTGGGTGGAGGGGTGGAGGGGTGAGGGGGCGTGTAAATACTTTCATATGTCCATTTGTGTTTCAATTGGGAAGCATATGATGTTTGGTTGTCTTTCTTTTTTCTGATGTTTATGTCCATTAATGATCACTGCCAAATTCATATTTCATTAGGGCTTTGTGAAATGATTACATTTTCATTCTATCATTCCCCTTTATCTTAACACTAGAATGAAAAGAGTTTTCTTTCTCTATTCTTTGGTTAAGCAGGGAAGGTAGGTTAAACATTGATTCTTTCCCTTGCTGCTAATTTTTAAAAAATATATTTATTTTTTGATTTCATGGAGGAAGGGTGAGGATAGAGATAGAAACATCAATGATTAAATCATTGATCAGCTGCCTCCTGCACATCCACTACTGGGGATCGAGCCCACAATCTGGGTATGTGCCCTGACCTGGAATGGAACCTGACCTCCCGGTTCATAGGTCAACACTCAACCGCTGAGCCATACTGGCTGGGCTCATTGCTAATTTTTAGAGTAGTGACTTAAGTTTCTTAGCATTTCTCAGAGGTGACTCCTGAGTGGTAGGTAGGTGTTCGTGTTTATCATTATAAAGTCATGGATTATTAACATAAAATGTGTTGTAGTTGTTCTTATTGGTGCTCAAATTGTGCCATTAGGCAATGGGAGCCTCACATTGATTCCTGAGTCCTCCTGACACAATCACCATAGTCATTGCTGTTTCTCTTGCTTTCTCTTTTGACAAGATACTGGTCATTTTCTGTTCTAGACCTGGAACCAGCCATTTCTTCTAGGATCCTTGGTTTCTTTTAATCAGGAAAGGTATTTGGAGACCACAATATGGGTGCTAGGATGCTCAACACCATTGGGTTGATCATTTTACTATGTCTTTGAGGAGAATGATTTAATATACTTTTTACTTTAAAAAAGAGAAAGAGAAAATACCTCAGAAGTGTGTATATATAAGTCTAATTTATAATTATAGGGTTTTACCTTTTTTTCTTTTAATCCTCACCCGAGAATATGTTCTCATTGATCTTTACGGAGAGAGGAAGGGAGAGTGGGAAACATCAATTAGTTGACTCCCATATGCACCCCAGCCTCGGATCAAACCCACAACTTAGATATGTACCCTGACCAGGAATTGAACCTGAAACCTTTTGGTGTACAGGAAACTGCACCAACCAACTAAGCCACCCAGCCAGGGTGGGTTTTACTTTTTTATATTTTATACTGGAGGCCCAGTGCACAAATTTTGTGCATGGGTGGGATCCCTAGGCCTGGCTGGCAATCAGGGCCAATTGGGGCCAGGCTGATCAGGGCCTGAAGGCCCCGGCATGGTCAGGAGAGGAGGCGATGGTCACCGGGCGCAGAAGGAACAGACGCCGGATGCTGATGCCACCATCATCGGTGCTCTGCCTCCCCTGCCCCTCCTCCTCCTCCCCTCACCACTGCGCCACCACTGTGGTGGGTGGGCAGTGGGCTGATCAGGGCTTGCTGGCTGGGGGCAGGGATGGGGCATGGGAGGTTGGCCACTGGCCCCGAGGTGGGAGCCAGCCTTTTTGGCTCCCCTGGGAAAGGGGCCACGTCTGCTGCCACCCACCCCCAGTTCAGGGCCCAGCCCCGATTGGGCAGTTGGGGCCTGCTGGCTGGGGGGAGGGACCGCGGGAGGGTGGCTGGCCAGGGGAGGTTGGCTGTGGGAGTGCACTGACCACCAGGGGGCAACTCCAGCCTTGAGTGTCTGGTCCCTGGTGGCCAGTACGTGTCATAGCGACCAGTCATTCTGGTTGTTTGGTCGTGTAGATCGCTTAGGTTTTTATATATATAGATTTATCTCACTTCTACAGTACTAGAAATATTGGTCCTTAATTACATTGACATCATTTTCCCCAAATATATAAAAATATTAATATATATAGTGATGTGTTCATATATATTAAAATAAATATCAATGTAATACATAACATAGCTGTATAAATAAATATTTACATTATGTATTATAGGTTATATGATAGTTTTGGTACAATCAGAAATCATTTTAATTCATTTTTAATGTTAATTATTTTGTTTTTAATTCTTTTTAA